CCTATCTATTCACCATCAACGAGTAGTGATAGTTCAGTTCGATGCTGGACTAGCTAGAAACGGAATCATCGAGCCGAGCTGTCAAGATGAAAAAAGTCAGAGACCTTAATACGATTATTATGATTAAAATAATCGAAACGAGTACCCGTTCCTGTGCCTTTAGCCAAACGCCACTTTAGCGCTTGTCTACAGAGAGAGTAGAAAACTAAATGTATGGGGATGACACTGACAAGTGTAAAAATTTACGTCAATTCTATATAATTTTGTTTTCTATTCTACATGTAGACAAGCGCTAACTGGCATTTGGCTACAGCTGTTGATTGGTCGTCTCCAATGAACCAACCAATCAGAATGCCAAACTCGGTCTCGTTTCGATTTTTTTTAATATTTGAGCTATCTCGCCTGTTTGTAAGCGATGATGCGGTCTAAGATGGATTATGACGGATTATATATATTACGACGGATATAGTAGGCAAAGACTACTCGATTACTTAGTACTCGATACTCGATTACTTTAAACGCAAAACAAACTTGTGCTATGCCCTCTGTATACAGAGATACGTGAATAACAAGGAGATATGAGATTTTAGATCATTTAGCACTAATCTAACGAGGAGTTCCGTGTTGCAACATCGCCCTAATTATGAAAGTTGATTAACGGCAGTATACGTTTATAAACTGTGACCTATAATAACTTCCTTTAAAGGCTAGAACTTAAATGCAATCTGACGCCTTTACAGCTAATAAAATAGTTATGAGACATTTAAACGTTTTAGTTTAATAACTTGAAGCAATATTTATACAAAGTTTGTCCATGTCTGCGTCTCTGGATACGGCATGCAAAACTCATGTCAGGATTTCCTTCGCTCTATGGCTCAGGGACAGAATTAAGAATTTTCCCATAATTCCTATCAGGAAAAATAAACCCAAGAATTGTATGTAAATGTACATATACGTAGATAATTAAGCTAAAAGTTGTTTAAACTAAATAGAATAGACTAGATAGACGTTTAGTACTTTGACGCCTAAATTAAGGGTAGGTATAATTTTTGTTGTTTTTTTTACTTATATTTAATACTTTAGTTGTAGTTAATTTTATATTGTAATTTTTTTATGTATTCATGGAAAAAAATGGGTTATTTAAATTCATATAGATGACCTGTAATTTATTTTGTTTTAGTCAAATTATTCTTCCTAGAATACAAGTATTTCCCCATAAAGTAAAATTAATAGAATAGGCGAATGTCGTCGAGTACGAGTAGGTACATGCATAAACTCGTATGTATACGTATTGTTACTGATGAATTTATGTTACACAGTTCAATTGTAGACAACACACGAATATTGAACATAACAAAATAAGCATCCTTGTCCTCGTTTACTATGGTTATAAATTATGTGATTTATAGAACGTAGAGAATCATAGTCATTGGGTACTATTAACTCATAAGTGAGCAATTTACTTTGGCTGGCCACAGCCTCCAAGAAACACTTAGGTAGGTATTATAATTTCCTTTCAACTTTTGATGTGTATGACAACCAGTAATCGTTTTGTAAATATGGCGAAGGAAAAATGTTGGCGTAAACCTTGGGTCGATATATATTTTTTGAAATAACGATGTCGGGTCACTGGGATTCTCCTGTGTCGTGGGTGCGTTTACAAACATACAAGTTTATATACACATGACACCCAGAACCGAAACAGCAATTTGTGGATCAAACAAAGAGTTGCTCCGTGCGGGAATCGAACCCGTTACACGTTGCGCGGCAGCCGGTTACTCAGCCAACGCGACAACCGTGCAATCGCATTCATTGGAGGAAGGCATACGTTCAGAAGTCTTGTGGTCATGCTAGCTAAGGAGGAGGCGGGCCGCGTGAGGCAGCGAAGCGCTGTCTCCTCGCAACCCAGCCATCGCGAAGGACACTCCGGGCGTCGGGGATCGCGGGACGATCTCTGACCACCGCACCGCACCGTAAGCGCGGGCCTGCGGACGGCGAGCATGGGTGGCTCCCCGTCCGACCAGAACCAGACCCGAGCGTACGGCGCGTCAGTTCCGCGCGTGCCTCAAAGAAAGCATCAGACCACCACGGATGGGGCCCAACAGGGCTGGTGCCGATTTGGAGTCGCGGAGAACCTAACGGGTTACGGGGGCTCCGGCTAGAATGATTCCCCCCTTAATAAAATAAAAAAAGGCGTACTGTGCCCGACCAATGCATGCAAACTACAAATGGCGAGATAGACGGATTTGTATGAAGTGAAGAGTGACAGACGTGAATAAATTTTGTTTTTATGGAAAATGCAAGTGTGCGTATGAAGTTCAGCGTACGTGGACACGCCTTAGGCAACGTCTTTGTTTTTGAAATCCGTACATCAATAGGCAATTATTTATTTCACAACGATGCACTCAGTCAGACCCTGAACCATTCACTTCAATTCTTTTCTGATTAGACCATTTTAATGAATGTAGGTTAATTAGTTTACATTTCACATATTAAAGCCAACTTCAAATATTTGAATGTTTCCAAGGAAATCTATAAACCATTTGCAGAGCGGAAAAATAAATGCAATAAAACAATCCTAAATATTTATTTTATATTATGTTTTAATTTTTCGAAACCACTTGATTATTGTTTGTTTTTAATGCATGTTTGAGTTTTATTTATTAATTTTGTATTATGATTTTTTCCGGTAAACGAGCAGACGGATCACCTGATGGTAAGCAATCGGCATTGCCCATGGACATCTGGAACACCAGAGGCGTTACAAGTGCGTTACCGGCCTTTTGGGGATTAGGAGTTTGAGGATCGTTGGGGATTCAGGAATTGGGGAGATTGGGGAAGGGGAGGGTAATTCTCCGGCCATTAGGCCTAAAAAGAGATTGTGGGATGAACTTTACACGACAAGGATTGGTCGCAGAACGTTTTAGGTACACAGAAAGGAGTAGAAAAATGGTAGGAATGTATTTACTTTGCACTGAAACAGGAAAATTACAACTGAAAATAAGCAATTATTATCTTCTTTATTATGGTATGGGCTGGCAAACAAGCCGTCGGTTTGTCTGATGGCAAATTGGTAAACAATCGGCGTCGCCCATGGACACTGGGAACACCAGAGGCGTTACAAGTGCGTTACCGGCCTCTTGGGGATTAGGAATTTAAGGAATGTTGTAGATTCAGTAATTTGGGGTGATTTGGGAAGGGAGGCGGTAGTTGGGCCTCCGGTAACCACACACACGACGAAACATAACACAAGCGTTGTTTCACGTCGGTTTTCTGTGAGGCTGTGATATCACTCCGGTCGAGCCGGCCCATTCATGCCCAAGCATGGCTCGTCCCACACTTAAAGTTAGGTAAAAGTAAAAGAAAATAAAGTCAAATAATTATAAGTGTCATACATACTACGTCATAAGTATCATTTTGTCGAAATTATCTTTTTTTTAACGAAGCCCTTCTTAATATCGATATAGCGACAGAGCCCCACTTGTTTTTTCATCTACTGTTTAGATCATGGTGTCATCCTTCAGTCTAGATTCACAAAGCATATGTCTAGGTCTAGTTAAACTAACACTTATCTTATTAGGTAGATGCTTATTTAAGTCAAAGATATATGTTTAGCAAATTATATATAGGCAATAATGTTTGAGCCACTTGTGTAAACAACATAACAGGAATGGTAACATAGAGTATAGTGATATACAGAGACTGTATTGATCAAAAACTGGGATGATAGCAAGATTGTTAGACAGTTATATGGGCATATTTGTGTCAGAGTTGAGTTCAGAACCAAATTGTAGAATTTGTACGTAATGAACTGCACGGTTGGCGCGGTGCCTGGGCAAATGGCTGCCGCGCAACGTGTTACGGTTTCGATTCCCGCACGGAACAACTCTTTGTTCCATAGATTGTTGTTCCGGGTCTAAGTGTTATATGTATGTGAACTTGTATGTTTGTAAACGACACAGGAGAAAATGCTAATGTGGGGCAACATTAAAAAAACATTTTTTTAATCGTTGAACCAGTAGGTAATGTTTCAATTGAAGTCTTTATTAGACGGATTCCGTCTACTGTTGAACAAAGGCCTTCCTATTTAGAGAGGGTTCCTCATAGTCTCCATATTTAGCAAATGACGCGACGTTGGTATTGTAGTTAGATCGCTGAAAATTTTATTATGCTACTAAACATGGTACAATCTGTCGTGGTTTGACGCAGTTTAAGACGCTGTGTAATGCCCTCTACACACATTACGATCATCGATAGGATACCTATGCATAGTTTATTGTAAGGTGTAGCCTGTTTAAGAATGCCCACAATTTCATCAATTACGTTTCATTTAATCATTTAAAATTAATTTAATAGTATCATAGTATTATGTTGATTGAAAACAAATGCAGTCTCTGTTACATTGTATCCCAGCAAAGGTAACCTGACACTGAAGGTCGGCCCGTGTCGATTTATTTGCATGCACGAATTGACTTATAACTGTATTGTGTATATATTATCCGTTGTATTGATGATTACTTACTTAGGTTATTTGGAACATACTATCTTTGCAATTGGCTGAACGTCTGTACATCTACTGAATTTGTTGAACAGATTGTATGTAAGTACCTACAGCGGTTAAATGTGACAATTTTGTTCCCTGAAACAACAACACTGACCAACAGCCACTTATATATTAAGTTTATGTGTAGACGTCATATCCAGTATGTCCAGGTGGGCAAACGTTTATAGAGATTTTATCCTACTTTGCATGTGTCGTCTCAAAAGTTCGACACTTGATGAAATAGGCTATGAGGTATAGACAAAATGAGGGAGCACAAAGTTACTTCATGGTTACTTGACTCAATCCAATTCAAACATGCCTGTTAAAACAGTTTGTAAATTAAAAAGTAAATAATATATGACACTGTCAACAATTGAACTATGTCGGTCGTTATTGTTGACAACCAAATTATCGTATATACATTTTTATAATACCTATTTTTATCACGACTATACCGATGGCAAGGACCACACGACAGATCCTCGACTTCACTCTCGGTACGTTCTGTTTCAAAATATTTAGCAGAAACTGTTGCAAAACAAAAGTGGGTTATGCAACAAAATAAAGAATGTCCATTTGAACCTAGTTTATTATAATACTTTAGATACTGACGAATATCTTGAAATATATCCGCATTTGGTTTGTCCACAGTTTCTATGAAAAAACTTCGGCCCGTCGTTTCAAAAGTTTGGGGAACAACTAAGGGTTACATTATGCAAACCCGTGGCAAACCGCTCGTGAATAATAGAGGAGTAGATAAATTGGAATCTCTACTAGATATCGCGGCAAGCAAAATATACGTAAATTTACAATCACTCCGGGACAGACAGCTACCTGCAGAAGCTAAATATCTTGAAAAAGAATTAATTACAGTCAGAAGAAGGATTGATGGTTTAGGACAGACAAATGACACAGTAGATATGAAAGACACGACGTCTAAATATAGTGATAGTTCACCAACGGAACACGCGTCGACGTGTAAATGTTGTGGTGGTAGTTCAGTAGAGAAGAAAGAATCGAAAGAATCGTCGTCTAATTGTGATCGTTTTACAAAGTAGGAAGACATGAAGCCTAAATGCTAAGAGTTACAATACAAAATCTCAAATAGTTGCTCAATGTTATATAATTTATGTAATTTGGCTGTGGGCAGGCATATTACCAATGGCTATGAAGTGCCCTGTGAATATTTCAAACAGAGACACTGTTTAAAATCTTCACGGAAAATATTATGTAGGTAGTGAATATTTCGGTGTACCTTATATAAATGAAAGAAGGTAACTTTTTAATAAAACTCAAAAATATTTCAGGTATTTCAAAAAGCCTACGTAATGCTGCTGCTACATCATGGAAATATTTGAAAGTTGAAGCAGTACCACCATTGACTTATGGCTTCTTTAATGGAGCACCTGGGCAGAAATTGGAAAGCGTTGTTGGAAATTTTGCAAACAATATCATAAAGGCAATGGAAACTCGGATCAAAGAAATAGACGCAGCGGCTGAAAGACAAAAGCGTGAGCTCGAAGCAGCGATAAAAGCACGCGAAGAGAAAGCTAAAGCTGATGCAATAAAGAAAGAAGCTGAACGGCTCAAAGCTCAAGCTAAGAAGGCAGCTGAAGCGGTAAAAAAAGCTAAAGTTGAGGCCGAGCAGAAGAAACCTGAAGTGAAAGCTGCAAAAACGAAAGAGAAACCAAAAGAGAAACCAAAAGAGAAACCAAAAGAGAAACCAAAAGAAAAACCAAAGAAAAAGGCCAAAAAGGAAGCAAAACGCAAACCAAAGGAACAAGGAAAGAAAAAGTAGCCATGAGGGAAACAAAGTTAACTCAATATTTTTGTACATAATTGGATTTTTTATTGATATTCTTTACATTTGCAACTTTATTTTTTTAAGTAGATACAGAAGTACCTGCGTAAACATGTTGTTTAATATAATACTAGGCTCAACGATCTAAACTGGATGTTGGCCTCCGATACGAGGTTTCGGTCAATTCTCGCTGTTCTTGGTTGTTTCTTGCCAATTAAGGTTTTTTGATACGTTTTTATTTTGTTTTGTTGATAAAGTTATTTCAAACAATTAATTTTTTAATATTTTAATTTCTGTGCATTGGTTACTTGTTTTTTTTTTAGTTTCAGTCGTGAAGTAGTCCGAATAACTTGATTCCTTGGTATAATACATTTTTAGATAGTTTAAAACATCACGCTACGATCATTAGGCATCGAGCAGAGTGGAGGAAACCGCGTAGTAATAGCTAGTCTTAAATTCCTTCCTAGTCGTCTTCTTCATTACTGAAGGTCGTGTCTAGTCTGGTGCACGCGTCACTTGATGCACAACCCTCCTCCAAACGCCCCTGTCCTCTGCGGTCTTTATGGCTTGTGGAACTGTCAGGCCGGTTAGGTTTTTTACAGCATCCAACCACCGGGTAGGTGAGCGACCGCGAGGTCTTTTCCCGTTAACCCGACCAACAACCACAAGCTTCTCCAGATTGTTGGGGTCTCTACGCGCAATGTGGCCAAAATAAGTTAATATTCGCTGCAGGCATACAGTGGACAGCCTCGTAGTAATTCCGATCTCCTTGAGAATGGAGACGTTGGTGCGACGAGCGGTCCAGGGAATACGGAGCATACGTCTCCAGCACCACATTTCAAAGGCGTCAATTTTTGCTCTCTCAGTTTTCCTTAGGGTCCAGGATTCGGCGCCATACAAGAAAATGGAGAAAACCAACGCACGCATCAGCCTCACTTTGGTCTTGCGACATATATTTCGGTCCTTCCATATCTTGGTGAGTTTCGTCATTGCTGATTTGGACATCTGGATTCTCCTTCTGATCTCTCCGTCGCTGCCACCCCCACCATCGATAAGAGAGCCCAGATAAATAAACCGATCCACAAACTCCAAGTCTCTGATTCATGTGAGCGAGTGCATGTCCCCATTCTGTCCACAACGAGCACCTTGGTCTTGTTTTTATTTATGGTGAGACCAACCAGTTCGCTCTCCTTCTCTACTCTTGCAATCAACTCAGCCATCTCGCTCTCGGACGATGCAAACAAGGTAGTATCGTCCGCATACCTTAGATTGCTGATTCTCCTGCCACCAACAGACAGCCCACGCTCCCACCCCTCCAGAGCTCGTCTCATTATGTATTCCCCATATATATTAAAGAGAATGGGAGACAGGATACAGCCCTGCCGGACTCCCCTCCGAGGCCTAAATGGATGCGACAGGACGCTGTTTACTTTCACCACGGTGCTTCCATCCCTGTAAAGATTAGCAATAAGAGCCACAAGGTGTTTCGGTACTCCCATTTCCCCAGGATTTTCCACAGGCATTCCCATCTTACACAGTCAAAGGCTTTTGAGTAATCGACGAAGCACATGAACATTGGGATGTTGAATTCGCGACATTTTTCTATGATTTGCCTGATGTTTGCGATCTGTTCTCTAGTGCCTCGTCCCTTTACGAATCCTGCCTGCTCCACTGGAATCTGCCACTGCAGAAATGCCTTAAGACGCTCATTAACTACGTACAGAAGAACCTTACTAACATGAGAAATGAGCGCCACGGTTCTGTAGTTTCCGCAGGACTTCGTAGATCCCTTCTTATGTAGTGGAATCAGTACGGATTCCCTCCACTCCTTAGGCCAGCAACCAGTCCTCCATATCTGATTGCATAGATTTTGCAGAAAATTGACTCCAGAATCACCTATTTGCTTCAGGTCTTCAGCAAATATGGCATCAATGCCGGGTGATTTGTTTGCTTTCAATTTCTTTATAGCAAATTCGATTTCAGACTTCAGAATCTCTGGTTCCAGAGGTATGCTGTTGAAGTTGTCCTGGGGGTCCTCCGACGCTGCCGGATCCGCATATAAGGTTTCACAATATTCTCTCCATCTGTTGACCACCCCATCTATGTCAGTTATTAATCGACCATTTGCGTCCTCTACAGCCCAGGTCCTTGGTTTGAACTCACGCGTTATTGATTTTATTTTCATAAACAACTCCCTGGACTGCATATTCTGTGCATGATCTTCAATTTCCGTACAAATGTTGTTATAGTACTTGTTTTTATCTTGCCGACAGCGACGTTGAACTTCCCGCGATAGACTTTTGTATCGTTCTCGGTCATCATCCTTTGAGAGGTGTTTAAGTAGTTCTTTCTTTTCTTTGATAATGTTCCAAGTCTCATCCGATAACCAAGAATAGCGTGGGGCGCCAGATGTTCCAGTTTGACTCTCCCTGTGCGCTACCTGTAATAGTTCCTTGAACCTGTCCCAGCCGTTATTCACGCTCAAACCTCCATCTATCGGTGCTGCTGTTATTTCCTGCTGAAATCTTGCTTTGAACTTTATTTGTTCACCGGGTGTAAGCCTACGTTTTTTCTTGTCAGTGACACGAGGGCATTTTTTCAGCTTGATCGACATTCTGCTTACTAAAAGCGAGTGGTCACTGCTGCAGTCCGCACCCGGATATGTCTTGGTGTTCATAATGCACGACTTCCACCTCTGAGGCACGGCGATATAGTCGATTTGGTTTCTCGTTCTATCTCCAGGTGAAGTCCACGTGTATAGACGTCGGGGGTGGTGTTGAAACCAGGTGTTCATTATAGTGAGGGAATTAGCGGCACAAAATTGTAACCATCTGTCTCCTCTTTCGTTCCTCTCACCCAATCCAAAGCGTCCAACCACCTCTCTCAGATAATCGTCCCCCACAGTAGAGCCTACTTTCGCGTTCATATCTCCCATCACGATATTAATTTCTCTGCGAGGTAAAGAATTGTACGTGTCCTCCAGCTTATTGTAGAATGCTTCAATAGTCTCCTCATCGGCAGCGCTGGTAGGGGCGTACACCTGTATGATGTTCATACGGCATGGTTGCGTGTTCAGCTTGATTGTGATTATACGGTCACTCACAGGATTGTATTCAAGCACACATTTATCCATTTCAGCCGTAACAGATATCGCCACTCCATTCTTGCTTTCACTTTCAGGTCCCGAGAAGTAGACAGTATGCCCTCTGTTCGTTTTGTAGAACCCTGTACCTCTCATATGGGTTTCGCTGAGGCCTAATAAGTCTAGCTTGTACGCTGACTGCTCCTCATCTATCATTTCCCTCTTCACTTCTCGGATCATACCACGAACATTCCATGTCGCAAGCGTTGCCACCCTTCTCAGCGACCGCTGGTTCCTAGATGTTCTCCCACCTTCACCAGTAGCATTTACTCCACACTGCGCCCGATGAGTCACTCCAGTGTGGCCAGTAGCACATTTCACACCATGCGACCTGGGATCGTCATGGCGCCGGGCGGCGGCCGGGTCGCATGCCAAAGCATCTCTAATCGCATTTATGTCCATACTAGATTTCTTGGGATGTTAGTGCAGTGGTTTCCCGTTGCCTTCTGCACCAGGTCTTTCGAGGAGTATTTTCTCCTCAGGCCTCTGTAGCCTCATCCAGATAGTTTCCTTCCTGGGTTTAGGTTATACCGCCTATGCTCGGTCGCCATTGCCTCGTCTGTTGTCTAGCAGGGAGCACCGCGACAATGTTAAATCGCCGCCGTCAGCTATTCTATAAAGAACCACTTACGCGTGCAGGTGAGGTTGACAATTGGGCCGAAGTAGATCTAATTCCAGCCCCTTACTCCCCAGTCTTAAATTTAAATTAGTCTTAAATTATAAAGTACTAATTAAGATTACTTCGGGTATTTTCTCGATTGGGGCTGCGAACCATGAAACTCAAGGTCGATGATTGTTTCGAACTAACCCAATTAGTATTTGTAAGCTAATTATCTTATGATAAAGAATGGTAGTACATATCCGATTGGGACCCGATGTCCAACAAAAAATAAGTATTGGGTTGCATAACACTTAGCAATAGCACGGATTCCCAATCAAATTTGGATGGTGCTCAATAGGGCTACAAAACACGATGTCCAAAAAAAGGTTGACCATCATAGTAACTAATTTGTATTCGTACGCTATTTAATGATCTGTCCCGAACAAAAACACAATTGATTTCATAACATTTAGTAACAGCGCGCAGTCTACTAAAACGACAGCAGGTTTAATGGTATACTATAAGCTGGTACACGAGCAGACGGATCACCTGATGGCAAACAAACGGCGTCGGCTATGGACAGCAGAAACACCAGAGGCGTTACAAGTGTGTGGCCAGCCTTTTGGGGGGCTAGGGGATTCGCGGATTGGGGTAATTGGGTCTACAATAACCTCACACGATAAAACATAACGCAATCGTTGTTTCACGTCGGTTTTCTGTGAGGCCGTGGTATCACTCCGGTAACACCGGCCTATTCGTGCTGCAGCATGGCTCTCCCACACTTTATAAATAAATTCCACAAATTCTGAGTAAGTATAGAATAGACAACCTATCTTAGGCTGAAAATATACCCGACTGATGGTAATAGGCTCAGCAACTATCGACGTCATCGTAAGGGTATGGAATAATGGATAAGTTAATATCGTCCCGAAAACTACTCTGTTATTGAAAGTGCTCAAACTCATACTGCTAATTTACTTACTTGGTATTCTATTAATTTTCTTAAAAGAATCGCCGTTTTATTTCAATTCACGTACCTACCTAAAACATAGTCACGCGCACCCCATTAGCTATCTATAGGCTTAAACGAATAAGGTACTTACATAGCTACAAAAATGAAGTGCAAACCGTAAAAAGGTTACGCTTGTAAACCAAAACCTCCTTTAAAGTCCTTTATTCCCAAAATTATAGAAGTGTAATTATTTTTTATTGAATTTAATTGCATTATCTGTGGAAATCATGCATAGGCGACGTTTGTCACATTTTGTATCATCAAATTATTAAACCTATTTTATTGGAAACAAGGAAAGGAATCGGTTATAATTTACTAATCAATAAAGTTTACAAAAACAATGGCCTACAGCTTAAATTTGTCAAAATTCACAAATGTGTTTCGTAAGTATTTATCTACATTCCTCTTAAACGTAGCTCAGAGTCAGCTCCAGAGTAAGGATATTCACTGAGAGCTGAAGGTCGAGTTCAATGGCGTCCCATTGCAGCATTTGCTGCGGACGAAAACGGCTTGATGGAGTATTCTGTGCTATGATAGTGATGCTCATTATTCACTAGCTTTTAGCCGCGGCTCCGCTCGCGTTACAAAAGAATAAAAAGTAGCATATGTGACATATACCAATACACACAGCGCCATCTATACCAATATCGGGAATATCAAATTTTTTCGGGATAAAAAGTACCCTATTATTTAATCCAGACTACTAACTTTACGTCTGCAAAAATTCAATGCAATCGGTTGAGTAGTTACGGCGTGAAGATGGAACAAACAAACAAACTCACTTTCCGATTTATAATATTATATTATGTGTGTGTAATGTCCTACATCTCGACTCGTGAGAGTCGGTAATATTATATTAGTATATATTAGTATTAGTATATTAGTATTATTAGTAAGGATAGTAAGGATTTAAGATGCAACGGAATAGAATAGGCCACAGCCGTTCTGTTGTAACACAAAAATCAAAAATAATAATTAAAAAACCAAAAAATAACTGTTATTAGTCGTACGTACTGATATGTTACCCATCCACTGATATGTAAGAAGTCGGTGCCACAGTAGTTATTTTTTGATTTTAAACCATATCATTTTCCCCACAACGTATTGAGACTAGCCCCCATAACAAATTATACTCGTGAAAAGATCTTTCTAACGACATACGTCTGTTCGGTATTGGTCGGTAGGTAAACTGATCGTCATCATATAAGTAAGGTAAGTATTACAAACCCCAAAAATGTTAGGATGAACCCAATACAATATCTAGTAATTGTATGAAGTCTGGAATCACCTTATCAGACTTCATGCATTTACATACAAAAAAATAAAAATCAGCAATATACTGCTGTACCTACCTTGATGACAATTAGTTCCTAACCTCTGCCACATATTAAGCTGGTATCCTAAAATTTGTTTTTAGGCAGCAGATTGGCACTGATGGTAGAAATAACTGATGTATACCGACCTCACATCTCGACCCATAAGGAAAAATTGATGGGATTGATTAAGGGTGAGTTACCTTGATTATTGAAACCTTCATAAAGTTCTGTGTTCTGTGTAGTCCATCCTCTGGTTGTGAGTGTCCATGGGCAGCGCTGATCGCTTACCATCAGGTGATCCATCTGCTTGTTTACCTCACATTTCATTAAAAAGTCTCAACACAATATTACGGTACTTGGTTATGTACTCATTCATATTTTAATTTAGAAAAAGCTGAGGCAGCTACCAAATCGGAATTGGCGAAGAAGATGAAAGTTCTTAAAGAGTACAAATTGGAATTTTCACCGCCACGACCGGCAGAATTGACGGTAAGACTTTTAGGTGGTATAGATCTCACGGGTCTTTAGGTACTATACGCCCTTATTTGCCTTAACAAAAATAATAATCAATCATGTATTTTTCAGTCATGTATATAGTGTGTGATATGCTAAACTAGGTAGGTCAGTACTTAATTAAATATCAATTAATAGGCATATGCCTAGACGTGTAAGTAAATGATTAGTTAATAAACCAGAAAATGTAAATGCAGGTGCAAACAGTAATAAAATTGACGATGGTTGCAGTTCTCATAGTAAAACCGCTAATACTTCCACTGGATATGGCTAGGCCCGCCTTGGGATGCGTGTTGACATTCAATGCCATAGTCATGCCAAAGTCACAGAGAGACTGTTCCTCATGAGTAGCGTGCGCGGTTGCGGCGATGTCACGCAGCTTTCTGGCCCGTAGGCTGCGCGACATCGTTGGCATCGTGGTCGGCAACACACTCGTGACCCCTCTGGTATTGCTGATATACGTACTTATGTTATGGTTGGGGTCGCTTATCGTTGGACAGAGCCCATGTGGACCCGATGGGCTCCTGAAACTGAGTGAAACTGATGAGTTTCGTTGCTAACGATGGTAGGAAGAATTATGAAAATGAACTGTATAAACAAATCTACAAAGTCATTCTGTATGTCATTCACTTCAGTTAAAACCCCAAAGGTTATGAACAGAGGGTCTCTACCTTGTAGTCTCAAAAACAGATGAATCAATTTTCATAACTTTAAAGAGATTATGTAATTCCTATGAATTAGATTATTTTTTTAAATACCTTAAAATACTGACACCTACGACTTTCATTATTTATTTATTATTATTTATTTATTTTCAGCAATGATCGTCCCACTGCAAGGCAAAGGCCTCCCTACCCACATTCCACTTCTCTCTATGTGAAGCTTTTTGCGGCCAATCCTTGTCATAGATGTCTAATTCGTCCCTTTTGGGCCTACCGCGACGTCTACTGACGTTGAGGACTTTGATTATGATATTAATTTAATTCCTTGTTCACAGAAATTGTTCGCAGACTTGGAATTAGTTCAAGAGTTTTTCAGCAACAAGTGCTACAATCACATAACAGTTCGCCAAGCCTGGCTACTCTTCTTGGTATGCACCGAAATATCGATGTGGTTCTTCCTTGGAGAAACTATTGGAAAACGACATATCGTCGGATACAAAGTCTAACTGTTACCTACTCGTTATTGCCTATTTGTTATTTTTAAACAGGTAGATATCTCTTTTTTACTTTCTATGTGTAAAATTCCTGTAAAGTAAGTACCTACTAACTAATATTACAATCGTAAATAAATAAATACAAAGTGATAACATAATTGCATAGTATTTTATTCCCAGTCTTAGTAGTTACCATCTGCCGCCCATCCCAGTCTGAATAGTTACCATCTACAACCCTTCAAAAGGTGTACGGTCGCTACACAACATTGTGGTGAACTTAACGGGTTACCCGGGCTCCGGCTTTTTAGTCAGTATCAGTCTGACACTCCCTCCCGCCCTCCCGCCTTCACCCAGGCGGGAGAAGTAATTCGATGGTTGTCCCAACTTAAAAAAAAATCTCGATCTCGCGAGATCTCGATCTCACGAGATTTTTGTTTAATATTAGAAGAGAAGACTGGTTATTTCTTTCATTTGGTAGTTGATAGTTACGTACGTCAATGAAGAAGTATTAACAACTTAAAATTCATTAAAAATCTAGCATCTGCCTCCAACTTCGTCCGCGTCGATAGGAACCGAACCCGCGACATATTGCGCTATAGGTAGTTTCTCGCGCAGGCACAGTATGATCATAGTATCAACCTTGCTTTATAAAAATCCAAGTCCCGTACTTTATTATAATTTGATTAGGTACAAAGATTTCAAAGAAACAATCTAATGAAATTCGATAAAGTAATAACAGTTGTAGAATAAAACATGAAAATGTATTTTTTATGTTTGCCACACCATGTTTTGCAATTTAATTTTTTTAATGATATGGCTCTTTTATGGTCGGTATACCTATTACATGTTAATTGATTAGGTACATTTATATGCTTCGCTCACTACGTAAGCACTTGTAAATTATTTTATTCACATTCACAAAATTACATTTCTAAAACCGCTGTAGAAGTAATATTATAGTACCAGGCGTTCAAAATAGCGGTGAAGGTGCAATGCGGTGTTTCCGAGGGAACGAGAATTATGAAATTATAATTGGAATGCAATTAAATCCAGTAATAAAATCATAGACAGTGTATTCGGAGGGCTTAGGTACGAATGTGTTTTATGTTTAACGATATTGAAACGAGACCGCCTTGGGCGCCCTGATTGGTTGATTCAGTGGAGCCGGCAAATCAGAGCGCCGAACGCGGTGTCATATTCGGTCGGAACTCGTACTAAGCCCTCTGAAAGTGCTCGTGTTCTATATGAAATTATCGTCATCTTTACAGTTCGACAAAAATGTTTTGTTGGTGTTGTAACGTGATGTTGCGGCGAGTTAAGTTTTATTCAATATGTTTCGCATTTGGTATCAGTGTTCTCCTATTTTTTGTTGGAAATCGATATTATCCAAATAATACTTATTATCGTCCGTTTATTGAAAGCCGGAAAAATGTAAAAAACTTTTTAAAAGTTGGAAATGAAGCTTACACGGTACTCAATATTCCCAAAATCTTATATGATGGATCGCCAGACATCAAGATATTACTCGAGAAAACACGTTCCATAATCAAATACGAGCTGTCTAAGTATACATTTTCACAATTTGGTGCTCAAGCTTTGGAAAACTTAGTATTAGAGTCCGGGGGACAGCCTTTACGCAGTTTAATCATATCTACATGGAGGTCTGGTACGACTTTTCTTGGTCAGTTATTGAATGCTATCCCCGGTACTTACTATCACTATGAACCACTACTTAAATATGGAATTGTACAAATAAGGGGGCCACCGGATGGTGATAAAGCTATAGACAATATCAAGTCTATGATGAAATGTGATTATAAAGATTTAAAAGATTATTTTGATTTTGGGAAGAAAAATTTGGAACAGTTTCACCACAACACCAGACTATGGGACCATTGTAAACATAAGAGGAAACTTTGTTATGATGCTAACTTCACATCACGGATATGTAAGCTGTTTCCGTTCCAAACCATGAAGGTTGTAAGATTGAGGCTGCGACTCATCCAGGATGTTTTAAAAGATAAACAGTGAGTATAGTTTTTACAATTTATATATTTTTGCTTTTACAGTGCATGTTTTGAGTATAAATACAAGATTATTTGTAGGTACCTATTATTTTAATATTTAGACAAAGCTTTCACTCACAGTTTAATCAAATATACAATTTTTTGGTAGTCATCCTGAACTATGAGATTGATTTGACATGAGATTTTGCTAATAAAAGCAATAGTTTTTCTAAAAACTGCAAATTTAATATTCTTCTCTGCTGACACCCCTTGGTGGAATTAATCGTGTAAATGTTGTGAAGTAAATATTATTTTATATCTCTAAAGTTATTGTTGAAGTTGGTCCTAAGTAAGTAATAATAAAAAACAATGTATAATGTTCTAGGCTTAATGTGAAGGTGATACTGTTGATCCGTGATCCTCGAGCTGTAATGCAATCCAGACAACACCGTACCTTTTGCCAGACTTCTGCTGACTGTTGGGATCCTCCACTACTTTGTGCCGACATGATCAGTGACTATGTGGCAGCGGCTCGCATACAAAAGAAGTATCCTGACCGACTTATGTAAGTTAGATCATTTTTGGGCAACATTGAATTAGAACAAAAATGCAAAAGTCCGAACTGCAACACAAATTCGGGTCCTAATGATCATATTCATAGCGCGATGTTTTGTTGCCTAACTCAATAAATGCACTACCCAATCGCAAGGTAAACCACCACCCTGATGGTAGGCAATCGGACGCCACCCATGACTACCCTAAACACCAGAGGCGTTAAAATGATTTTCAATCATCGACAATTGTTTACACACCAACATAAAATGAGTTACTTACACAAAGGGAAAAAGTGCTACAAACTTTTACAGATAAGAACCACATAACCACATGTACAATCATTAGCAGCAAGAAAATTAAATAATAATATTAAAATACATGCTGACGTACGCTTTAATTCTCATTCCTCCGTTCCAGGGTGTTGCGGTACGAAGAGCTGGCATTGCAACCTAACGTAACAGCTTATCGAATATTAAAGTTCCTAAAGATTAGTGCCACGGGATTACTAGACAAGTTCTTGGTTTTGCACACTAACGTGGATGTTGCTGGAGTTAGCTCCACGTTTAGAGTATCGAAGGTGGTGCCTTTCAAATGGAAGAATACTCTCAACTTTACTTATGTGGATGAAATACAGGTTTAGCCCATTATATTAAGAAAACTGACACCCCAGTTGTGTGTCTGTGGATGGAATGCCTATAGACAGAAACATCCTGCGATACTCAGAGACATTTAATGATTATTTAAACGCCATTATTTTAATTCTCGTAATTAAGTTGAGTGTTTTAATTGTGATCATTTCGCCACTCGTAAACTATGCTGGAGTTTGGTGTCCTGTGGCCGGCGGCTGTTTCTTTGTGGGTACGCGTCGGAATGAATCAGAGCTCAGCAGAGTTGTCACTAAAACTGTCTTTGTTTGACATTAAAAAATGTGAAATAACCCCCAATTAATTAAAAAAAAAAAGAGTAAACGTCAAAAGAGACTAACTCTTATAATTGCATTTTTACATTTTGTTTGTATGTATATACATGTACTATCGGTTATATATGTTATTCTATTCTCAATTTTTCACACACACACACACACACACACACATATTCAGCTAAATTTATATTATTTATACAATTGCATGTTTATTTTTTGTCTTCATTGAGGGGCGGCACCGCCGTCCGTGAGTCACTGCAGGGTGCCACCTGAAAACCAGCGTTGGGCACAAACGTCCAACTATATGCTGAGGTGGAGGCCCTTTTGGCATTAGCACGCGCAAATTAAAATTAATATTATTATTTTGTTTATTAGATTTTTTTTTTATTGTCTATTCAAAATTCTGTATGTATTGTATGTATTCTGTAGATGTATTTTTATTTTTTTATATTCTTTGTTTTCTGTGCGTGTAATTGCCAAATAAATGATTTTTCTTTCTTTCTTTCTTTCTTTCTATTCCTTAATAACGATTTTGTTCCGAAAACAATTGCTAAAGACTGGATTAAGTAGCCATTAAACTGTCAAACACCAAGCGGTCACCGGTGACCGCGACCTATTGTTCTTTAATTGTGTCTATAAAACCGGTACTCGACGAGTTAAATAATAATAATAATATAATAAAAGATTTATTTATTATCTCTCTACATCTAATCAGATGCAAACTTACTCCTTTGTGAGAGACTGGAGTCCATACTAGGATTCCCTGGGTGACGGATCTCCAGGCTCCCTCCTCGGACCAGTTACAGATTATAAATATCTATCATTTCTTAGATTAAATGACTCTGAGTAAGGCGGCTAGACTCATAGCGTGTTCGATCATCAAACATTTTTGCATGCATACGTTTGTTTAAAATTGTAGTACAATGTTCAAGGCTCCTATATATACTAAAACTGCGTTGAGCTAAACTGGGGTCGTAAATATTTATTTCTAGATGTACAAACTTGGACGTCAGTCCTAAAGTTTAACAAACTTCCTACCAATTTACTTACCTACCGAAAACCTACGGAGTAAATCGTAGTGCGTAGTAACATTATTGAAAAGGTGGGATTATAAAGGCGAAATAAAATATTATTCAGATTTCTTTCAAGCATGGGATCTCAACGTCTTATTTTTGTGTTACAGAGAGCGTGCCAAGAAGCCATGTCTCTATGGGGCTATAAGATGGCGAAAAACGAAACCCATTTGAAAAGCAAAAATTTCATGCCCTTGGACAATTATACGATCTCATAATGAATACTGAAATATCGCAGGATATAAAGAAAATATTTTTTTCCATGTTAAATGTACACACGGCTACACATCGAGCTTTACATAACCAGTATAAACTGAACGTTAAATGTGCGGAAAGATGATGCGACGCGACACCAGGATAAACTGGTTTTGTATAGATTGATATGTGGCCGTGCCGACACCCCTCCTTTATGTCCTAATGGCTCCAATGATGTAAACATTTTATCACGACTGTAACTGCAACACGATTAAAATAAAGCCATATTTTTATTTATTTAATCTTGTACACCATACATAAATTAGTGGTATCTAAATAAGGCGAACCTAATGCCATATGGCATTATCCCCCAGTCAACCATAGGGTTTAAACAGAAAATCTGCGAAAATAAGGTACGGAGAATTAAATAACAGCAGAAAGAAAATATAGGTAATAATTATATAAGTAATACAGGTATATTACATTATAGTAAATATATGTACATATACAGTGTCCCTGAAATCGAGGTAACCAAATGATGATCGGCAACATTCGATAAGTTACCTGAAAAATATAAAAAAGTTCAAGTCAGTAATTATTTAAATTACAGTGGCTTATGTGTTCTTCAGGGAAATGAACACCCTGTTTTTCTGTACCAGTCTTTTGACTCTTGTTGCTATTTTTTTTATTTTTTCGTCTGTAATTTTACTTACGTTATCCTGAATAGTGCTTCAATAATACGGAATGATCAATTGTAAGCTACTAACTGCTTTAGTTTGGAGATGTGAGATATCATGATTCGTCAGAAAATTATGGAAGTAAAATATTCACCTTAATATAAGTGAAAGTGACTTAACTAACTTTTAATATTGTACTGCACGGGCAGTAGGTACCTGCAATTTTTTTTATGAAGGTCCCAGTAGAGTGTTACACATTCTATCCTGTATAGAAAGTCCAAGAAAATCTCCTGTGAAATTGAATCAAAAAGCATTTCTAGAAAGTAATAGTTGATTTCAGGTAGGCAGTAAATAACACCCGGAACAGCCGTTGACACTGATGTGGAAATTTATGTTCAAACTCTCTGGACGGCTATGTAAAGAGATGTTTTTTTTTTATTCTATGGAACTTACTTATAATAGCTACCTACTAACTTACTTACGAATAAATAGTAACGTAACCTATTTAATTGACATTTCATAGGGCCAAGTATCAGAACGTATCAAGTTTCTAATAAAATAATCTACCGTGCAAAACGTTCGTCATAGTTAATTAGGAGGTACCTAGGCATCTATAAGTTTTATTAAATGATACATCGAAGTTTAAAATGCGAAACGCATTCACTCTAGTTTTTTTAAATGGCCGCCATAACCTCCCAAAACTGCTGCATCTCCTGTAAACCAAGATCTACAGTAGATACAACTATGACAACCGCATTCCAGGAACATGAATAACTGTCTTGGTTCCCGCAGCAAAGTGAATCAGAAGATATTATAAGAGGAGAAGAAAAAAACGATGGTTTCAACTTCCCTCGGTGATTTACTGCAGGAGACAGAATGAATCTATCACTCTAGTTTATACTTACTAATTAAGACCGATGCTAGTTGATTTTATTATATTTTATTTAATTTTAAGACTGATCGTTTCTGTAAAAAATTTTATGGCATAAGCCGGTAAACGAGCAGACGGATCATCTGATGGTAAGCAATCGGCGTCGCCCATGGACACCTGGAACACAAATCCTAATCTTCCATACATTATACACCTATTGTGCTTTAGATTAACGGGTCTTTATTTTAGCTGTAGGTTCCCTTATTTGGCAATCATAAGATAATGATCATTATTTTAATTTTAATTAAATATTAACGAATAGGTATGTGGTTTTATTTAATTAAATAGTTGGGATATCGAGAAATGTAAATATAGGTGTAAGTGCAAACAGTAATAACATTGATGATGGTTGCAGTTCTCATAGTAAAACTACTAAAACTTCCACCGGACGTCGCTAGGCCCGCCTTGCGACGCGTGTTGACATTCAATGCACCCACTGTGACCTTACCTAGGTGCTTCTCGCTATGAGTTGCGCAACTATATAAAATATTTTAAAAAATTACAATATTTAATGATGTCCTCTACTTACACGGATTTGATTTCCTCAATTCGTCTATTAAATTAGCCTCTTTTGGTGCAAATGCCAAAAGGCAACATACTGGCAAAGGATGAGTTAAATTCCCATGCCCAATTCCATACGTGTGGGTTTGCTTAAGCTACAATTAACTCATTGTAGGTACCTACTTACTAAATTTGCCTACAACGAAACAATGAATTCGCAACAATTTGTTTTTCACTGGATATCAAACAACAATTTGCACATTTGCGCAACTGTCTTGCACTAAAATTACATAATTAAATGCATCAACAAAAGTATATACAATTTAATGAATGCTTTATCTATCTTGAAGTCATCCGGTGTCATTTTATTCTAATCTATGCAAATTAAAATTGTTAGGTAGGATAATAATTACAAAAAAAAAAAACACCTGAATAATTACAAGTCGGTATCGGTAAGGATATTCAAAGTCAAGGCATTATATTTTAATTAATTTACAGGCACACGTGGAATTAAGGTAGTCAAACAGTCATATCACAATATAATAGATGTTTAGTTTATCTCAGTTATCTAAACAACCAAAAGACACAATTATTTAAAAAAAACATGTTCCTGCGTTTCATCAGAGAAGTAAGAAAACGAAAATGAAAGAAAATAGCATTTATACCGACATGTCAAAGGTAGGCACACAAATACAAAGATTATACAAAAGAAAATAAAAGATAAAAGTACCTTCTTATCTAATACAAAATAATAATAAAAAAACTTAAAAGAGTAAAGAAAAAGAACAAAATAAAAACCACAGTATAACAAAATATGCAAACAATAATAGCAGAAATTAAATATAAAAAAAAAACAAAATGTAAAACAACATTAATGTGCGCGTGCCTATGCCAAAGGGGCCTCCACCTTAGAATATAGTTGAGCGTAAGATTTCCGGCCCGGAGCTGCGAACAACCTGATAAGTTACCAGGGCTGCAGCTTGCAGCAGGAGTAAGAACGGAATGGTTTTTGTTATAACTACCTTGAGGCGAATCACTCTGGAGAACTGGAACGATGTTGTTGTCATTGGTGGTTATAAAATTTCAAACTTGCGATACGCAGATGATACCACCTTATTTGCAAGCAATGCGGATCTCACGCAGGAATTATTTCGCAAAATGGAACACGTAAGCCGGGACTTTGGATTGAAAATTAACCAATCTAAAACAAAAATAATGATCGTGGACCGCGTCAAAGACAACTCGCCAGAAGTTACACATATTGCGAATTGCGACGTGGTTTAATCCTATATATAATCTTGGAGCCTTCATATCTAACAGGGGTGGTTGCGTTGATGAAGAGCCGCATGGCTATGGCCAGAACTGCGGTGGAGAAACTGACGAGAGTTTGAAGGAATCGCAACATCACTAAAACCGCCAAGGTCAGACTTATGCAGGCGCTGGTATTTCCAATTTCCCTCTACGTGGCAGAAACGTAGACAGTACGTGAATTGGAAAAGGGGAAGATAGATGCTGTAGAGATATGGTGCTGGAGGAAGGTGCTTGGTGTATCGTGGACTGAGTTCCGCAACAACGTATCCATACTCCGAGAACTCGGCATCACGAAGCATCTATTAACCATAGTACAGACGCGCATACTGCAGTAATTAGGCCACGTCTCCCGTCGTGATAACAACTCCATAGAACGGCTGGTCGTTCAGGGGAAGGTAGAGGGAACCAGATCACGAGGCAGATCACCTATGCGCTGATTTGATCAAGTCCAATCGGCAACGGGAAACCAGTGTCAGACTGCGCTAGACAATCCACAAACAGAGAGAGATGGCGGTAGATCGTGACGAAAGCTGTATCGACCTCTAACACAAATACGGCCGCCTTAGCGTGACCACGACCGCTCTGCCAAGAGCGAAACGACAGAGAAGAAGAAAGCACCAGAATAGTATGTCACGTCGATTATGTACACAGAAGATCCTTATATAAAGCCCAAGTATGTGCGAATACAGGGGGCACACTCTGTCACAGAATAAAAGTCGCCTCCCCCCCCCCCATGACATTACGATTCTCATGAGTTTCTGCGTTTAAACTAAAGTACCTACCTAATTTAAACGAGACCGCATTCGGTGCTCTGATTGGCTAGCTCCAACGAACTAACAAATCAGCGATACCTTAGCGGTCTAGTTTCGATTACTTTAAACGTAACTAAATAGGTACGTACATACATACAAAGATTTCAAACGAGCATTCTGATTCAATTCATGATAGTAATAACATTTGTAGAAAAAAAAACAGGAAATCGTACTTACCTATTTTATTTTTACTACACCATGTTTTTACAATAACAATATTTTAATGATATGGCTCTTTTATCATCGGTGTACCTATTATATGTTACATGTAAATTGAATAAGTACATTTAAATGCTTCGCTCGCTACGTACTTGTACAGTGTACAGACCGTATTTTATTCACATTCACAAACTCATAGTTTTAATACCAGTAAGTAATACCTCTAATACTACTTCTACCGCGGTCCGTGATAGTCTTGCAAACCGTACCTGCAGATTTGTAATTTTTTTTATTATATTTCTTCTAGGAAAAATTGTTTTAAAGTATCTAATCATTTGTAACCTAAATTCTAGAAAAAAGTAATAGTGAGCTTGAGCTTAAAAGTTTAACGTAGTGATGTAACTTGGCCGTGCTATAAAATTAAAAAGTTATTTTGTCAAATTATACGTCAGTCAGTCGTTCAAAATGGCGGTGAAGGTGCAATGCGGTGTTTCCGCGGAAACGAAAATTATGGAATTATAATTTAAATGCAATCAAATCCAATAAAAAAATGATAGACAGTGTGTTCTGGTAGTGCTCGTGTTCTATAATAAATTATCTTCATCCTTGCAGTTCTACAAAATTGTTTTGTT